CTGGGGATGAACCTAGGGCCTTTGCACTGAGCCACAGCCTCTGCCTCAATCCATTTCCCCCCTTTTCCTTCCCTCTCCCTGTTTTTGAGTCAGGATCTTTCTAAGTCACTGAGTTGTCTAGGCTGGGCTTGGACTTGCGATCCTCCTATTTCCCTTTTCCAGAAAACATTTTCTGAGTAGATTAAAGATATTTGAATCCTGAAATTTGAAAAAAATAAATGTTTTGAGTCACACAATAAACTGTGTTTGCTATCCCTGCAGAGATGGGTTGGACCATCCTTTCACGGGAGCCTGGGGATCCCAAGGCTAACATTTTTTATTCCCTGGCTTAACCAGTGGTGGTGAAACTATGGCAACGTGTTATTTGTTTTTCTTTTAAGATAAAATATGCTAAAGTGTGAGCTGTTTTTTCTAAACTAAAACCTCAGCATTCAGGTTTAATTGCAGTGTTGGCACTTAGCAATAGATATGTAGGTTTTGGGTTGCAGTTTGGGCATTGGCTCTAAAAGGCTGACCATCATTGAACTGTACTCTCAAACCCTGCAGGCCACCAAGCGATGGTTTTAGAAGTGGCTCCTTGTAGCCCTGGCCAAATTTGCTGGTATAAGCTGCAGGGCCCCTAATACCCAACTGGTGGGACATTCATTTATGTGCTAAGTCTTATGCTATGCAGAAAAGGCAGCCTTCAAAATTGGAAGATTAAACTGTTATTGGTATTGCTTTGAGAGCATCCCTTATAAAAGTAACCAAAGGTGAACAAATGCTCATAAACATTACCGTCCTGTTTACTCGGGAGTCACAGTACTCCAGAGATATGACTGTAAATGAGACGGCAAAGGAGAACAACACACATTCTTCTTTATTCTGTTTTTCAATACTACTGAGAGGAGACAGGAGATTTTAGTGGTGGAAGAAGTCAGGTCACCCACTGCAGCTATCACTGTAAATGAAGATTAGGTCTCAGAGAGACCTAGAGCACGTGGCTCCCAGTGTCCTCATGACAACTGCAAATCAAAATGTATGCGACACAACAAAATAATCAAGTAATCAAACCACGTTACTAGAAAAAACTCACGTAAACACAAAAGACTATAAAAAAGAAAGAAATTGAGAGGGAAAGTCCACACTTACACTGTGGTGATTAAGCGTAATTGTGTTAATTTGGTTGTCTTGGGAGCCACCAGAGGGATTAGTAAAGCGCACGTCTGGGTGTGTCTGGGTGGGTCATGGAGGTGTGACTGGGTGATTTGTGTGGTCCTTTGGCCTCTTCCTGTCTGGCGCTGTGCCCTGCTGTGCTTCCTAGCCACCATGAACTAAGCAATGTTCCTGCTGTGAGGCTGGTCCACCATGGACTGAATCTCCTGAAACTGTGAGCCACCTGAAGCCACTCCTCCGTAAATGGTGAGTGCTGGGTATTATTGTGCCGGGGACAGAAAGCTGATAAAACCCTAAAGAATAAGTGCCAAGACGGGAATTGTAACATCTTGTCCTCAGTACCTCAATGTAAATGGATTAGATTCTGCAAGCCAAACATAGTGGCAGACTGGATTAAAAATGAAACTGAACTATATGCTGCTTACAAGTAATTCCCTTTACCTCTACACATACACACAGTATGAAAGTGAAGGAATGTGAAAACATGTTCCATGCAAGTAGGGCCCAAGAAAAAGCAGAAGTAGCCATACTTAAAGTAGACTACATCAAAAGGAGTAAAAAGCGAATAAAGAGAAAACAGTCCAGTGAACATCTGTACGCCCAGATTCAATGTATTTCAACAATTGTTAACATTTTCCATATTTGCTTCAATTCCATATTTGCTTTATATTCATGTTTTGCTGACACACTTGAAAATAAATTATAGATACCAGGATACTTCTCCCCAACAGTATGAATCTTTAAAAACTAAGGACAGGAGAAGGAAAAGAATTAAGATATTTTGTGTACATGTACTAGCGTCCACAGTCAATGTACTCACTATACACTGAAAACATGTACTACTAAAATTAAAATTATGGATATTTTATATATAACTACGGTACCATCATCACATCTTTAAAATATTATAATCATTTAATACCCAGTTTATATAAGAATGTCTCTGACTTTTAAGATCTCTTTTATAAATCTTTTGCTTATTGGAACCAGCATAGAGGTTTTATACATTGCATTTTACTCTGAAGTCCTTTTTAATTCAAAGCAGTGACTAGAAAATCTTTCTAGTTAAGGGACAGACAGGTAGTCATTATAAATACTTTTGGCACACCAGGAATTGAACGCAGGGCCTGATACATGATAGATTGGTACTTTACCACTGAGTTAGTTGCCCAGCCCTATTTGCCTATCTGTCTATCTATCAATTAAACATTGAACAGAATCTAATTTATCTTTTTTTTGTTTGTTTGTTTTTTGAGACAGGGTCCCACTATGTAGTTGAGACTGACCTGGAACTCACTATGTAGCCCAGGCTGGTCTCAAATTTACAGGGATCCTCCTGCCTCAGCCTCCCAAGTGCTGGGATTACAGGCATGCGCCACCATGCCCAGCACGCTAATTTGTCTAGGCTGGCCTTGACTTGTGATACTTGTTTCAACTTCCTGAGTAGCTGGGATTACAGGTGTATGCAAACATTTCTAGATAGAAAAAGCATCTTTTGATGATTTCAAGCTATTTTAAAATGGTAGCAATTTAACATTAATTGTAAAGATAGGGAAGAAACAAAAAAGAAAGAAAAACACTAATAAAAATCTATACTGGATCTAAATTCTTCCCCATGTTGACTTTTTGATTTTACATCAAAATCTTTTTATATTCTGTCTCTTTAGTTTTTAATCTTTATACTAAAATATAAATGGTTTATCCACCATTTTGCACTGAGTTTTGTAACTTGGTATAATTACTCTTATCAGGGAGTTTTATACTTTCTCATGTTTTCTTATTCATTAGTGTCTCTTTCAGTTTGAAGAACTCCCTTTCGTATTCATTTTAGGACAGGATTGGGGATGATAAATTAAGCATAATGCTTATTTTGGCTTAGCCTGTGGTAACCACCATTACTTCAACTCTAGGTAATACCCACAGTGCAGCTTTGCCAGGAGTTTCTGGTTGGTATGTTGTTAACTGTTTTAGAACTAGAACTAGAGGGCTCCCCAAACCCAAGTCTGCTACAAATCTGTAGTTCGTGTGTTGCTCAGGATGGATGAGATGAGGGCCTAAACAGAATATGGCTGTTTTTAGCGCTGGGTCAGGTACAACACCTCTTCCACAGTCACCAAGCTGTGGTCAGGCACCGTCGTTTTCTGTCTAGTTCTTGCTTCAGAGAGGAGGGTCTAGTCCTAACCTCCTGAACGGTAACTGTGTCTCACCCTCTTTTCTCTAGCAGGCAGTTGAGTGTCTCTATGCTATACCGCATGAGTTGTAGGAGAGATGATGAAGGGCACCAGTGTTCCCCTCAGGGTCACATCCACGGCCCACTAGTCTCTGCCAAGACTAGTGCGGTACAAGGGCAGGACCGAGACCCACACTGTTACGGTTTTCCTGCTACTGTGGTTCATTCATTAGTTTAAGACTGCTGCAGATGACCTGAAGTGAGGCTGGCTGGATTACAAGTCCATCCTATTGGCATCATTATTGGTCCAGGGTTCTGACTAGGAAAACTGGAGATAGGAGTCACTGGTGTCTCCCAGAGTTGAGTTTCTCCTGCCAAGCTCCGAGGTCCCAGGCAAAATCCTATGCTCTTTCCTTGTCCTACCCACCAAGTAAATAGTCTTTTTCTACTTTCTGATGCCTGAGAGTTACAGGAGGGATGGTGGAGGCAGTTCTGATCATCAGATTAATATCCATGGAAGCTGGCCTGGGGCTGGGGCTGTGTGGCCCTACTCGGGTGCTGAATTTCAAGACTAGGGTTGCAGTTCTTTTCTCTCCACCAAGTGGGAATAGCTCCTGGGAGTTGGGCAAGGGGAGATAGGAATGACTTCCTCCTGCCTTCTCCATATTTTTTCCTGCTATTTTGCAAAAAAACAGTAATGAAAACTATCGTTTAGTTTCCTTAGCTCTTGAGACAGCAGTTAGGTGTGTGGACAGCTTTTTAAATAGGTATTTCTATGAGGAAATAATTTTTGGAGGGTCTAATTCTGCCAGCTTGCTCTTCCTTAAACCTTTATTTTACAAGTCACCCTGCTTCAGGTATTTTGTTATAGCACTATAAAACATACTTCCACAGACCAGCCACCTTCCAGGGCTTCTGACAGCTCCAATTCACATACTCTTAAGGGAATGTGATGAAAGAGAGAGACAGAGAGACACAAAGACTGAGACAGAGCGAAATGGAGAGAGACAGAGGCAAAGAGGGCACATACTTGAGTCAGAGACAGAGGGCAGGGGTGAGGAGAGGGAGGGAACTCATGAGAGAGCCAGAGACTGAGAGAGACCAAGAGAATAAGTCTGAGACAGAGAGAGAGGGAGAGGGCGAGAGGGAGCTTGATTTTGCTTTAGAAACAGGGATGAATAGCCTGCGTTGGGGAGCCTCACATCCCCAGCCTATCTTTAGCAGCAGGCAGGTCATACTTCCAAACTTTGAAAAGTAGAATAGCAAAGAGCAACTAGTGAGAACCTTCCAGAACTTTCTGAGAGAACCTTTAGGTAGGTCCCATAGGACAGTCTTCAGGGAAAAGGTTTCAGGTGCTTAACAAAGACCACCTCCCTTCATTGGAGGTGTGTGTGTGTGTATGCATGGGTGTGTGTGTCAGGGGAGGTGTTGGGATTAATTCATTTCCCTCCTTTCAATGAGGATGTAAAATCTAGAGTGTCTCTTCTCTAGTTGGCTGTTTGGTGGGACACCAGCTGTAACACACACAGCTTTCTGTGTTTAAAGCTAAGTCAGTTTCATGAAATTAACAACGGCATTCTGGGTAGAAAGCCGTCCCTATGGCAGTCGCCAGCCCATTAGGGAAAAGGCACACAAGTCCTCTTCTTCCCCTGAAATGAAGACACTCAACTGGGCCCAAGAGGTGAAAGTCTTGTTTATTGTTGCAGCAACTCTTATACAGACATTAGCGTTCAGTTAAATAAAGGAGATAGCACATTTAATACATCACAACCCCAAACCAGACGACTGTGGCCACAGTAAGGAGAAGGGGAGGGCAGGCTAGACGGTGACCAGACTGTCAGAGGAAATACATTCAGTGGGTGTGTGGTGTCAACATTCCAGGCTCACGTGTAGATATATCTTATTTATATATTTATTTGTATTTATATAGAGAGATCATTGAGGTTTGCGTATACAAAGAACCATAGTTACAAATACAATACTATACTTTTCCCAACGCTTTAGTTAAGCTCTATTGCACCCTCTTTACAGAACGGTACTACAAGTCCATACTCTAGGTGCTGTGCTAAGTATGTACAAGAGATTTCATTCGCACATGGTCCTCACACACTGCCTCAATGGAGGGGGGAAATAAAACCAGAATCGTGTGTTCAAGTGGACCCCAGCCAGGGAAGGAGCAGACAGAAGTGAAACAGCCCAACAAGTGGCCTTGCAAAGGTGTGTGGCTGCATCAGGGAGAGGCGGCTCTTGGTTGTAAACATTGGTAACGGCTACACCACTGGGCGGAGGGACCCGAGCAGTGCGGGTGGGTTTTCATAAGTGAGGGACAGGGAACACAGGCGTGGATGGGGCTGCGGGAAAAGGAGAAGCAATGGGGGAGGTAGTAGGTTACTCTGGGCTCCCTGAAGGCCGGTGTTGATGTGCAGGGCCCGGAAAGCAGCCCCAGTGCAGGGCGCAGAGCCCCAGGATGTGCTCCACCCCGAGGAGCTGCTTCCGGCAGGAGAAGTCTCGTGGGAAGGGGGCTCCTGGTACTGGTCTTTGGGGTGTCTTCCTCTCATCGACCCAAGGCTGATGGTGGCTCCCTGAAATGCTCCCACTGGAGAAGGCAGAGGCAGATCTGGGAGCCTGTCCCAGCTGAGTGGCCAGAGTGGATTTGTGCCTTGCAGTTCGGGGAAAGGATGCTCTATACAGTCTTCCCCATGATGCAGGGTGTTGAGCTATTTACATATGTAACTATATATATATGTGCGGATGTCAAATGGTAGAGAGACCACCACTGGGGACTTTGGGACATGGAGTGACGAACACCTGAGAGCCCAATTCTGAGGTTAACCAATGTTAGCTGAAGAGAAAATGCTGCAGCCAGGTGAGCCTTTTCCAAGCTCCAACAGCCTTCCCTGTGGGAGTGAGGAGCCACTTTAGCAACAATTTACTCTAGGAGAGCTTAGGAAGTTGGCTTTGCAGCCCTTCTCAAAATTTCCAAGGTTTTTGTGCAACAGGAATGGAAAGCTGCTTCTCTCTCCCTGGGGCAGAGATGCGTAACTAATCATGTGGAATTGTAGTGGGATATGCTTGTGTGGTTCCTGTCCCCAGGCTGATCTCTGGCATCCTATGCGGTCCCGTTCAGGCCTTGGGCCTGGGCCCGAGTAGCCACCTGGGAGCAGGCAGGCATGAGTCCAAGTGATTTTTGGAAGCTCCTGCTGCCTGAGATGCCACCTGTATGATGTTATTCCTCTCTCTTGGTAGAGGAGAGATGGGGTGATGACTCCTCAGTATTTATTTCTGATATTAGGCCAGCTGTAGTTGGGTTACTCAGGAAAAGCAAATACAGAACCTAGGGCATAGTTCCTGCGCCTCCTGTCGGTGGTGGGTTGGCCTTGGGCTGGTCACTTGTCAAGCACCCTTCAAACACGTGCTGGGGTCCTGGCTCCCCTCCATACAGTTCTCTGTGGGAGCAGCTGCCCTTTCCTTTCTCAGGACATCTGGGCAGCCGGCAGCCTGTCTTCATCGGAGCTTATTGTACTGTGGCCAAAATGAGAGTTTAGCTGCTAATTCCTTTCAAGCACTTGACTTTTCTGATTCTGTGCAGAAAACTCTGAAGATACAGAGATCCCAGGGTAATGGCCGCATCACTCTGGGGCTGAAGTCTCATTGTTCCTAATCTTGTTATATTCACTTTTATCTTTCCTGTAAATCCCTCCATTCTCTATTATAAATATATCCTACCCAACATTTGCTCAATGAATTTCTGTTTCTACAGACATAACATAAATATCGCAAATGCAGAGAACAGGGACTATATTAATATTACAAAATATATTAATTTTTCTTCCCCTGTTTCTACTGAGGTCATGATTGAAACAAAACAACAAAGACAACAATAAAAAAAAAAAAAAACACCATACCTCACATGATGCTCTTTGGACCAAGAAAAAGTGAAAAGTGGCTCAGAATAATATTACTAAAACACCTGCACTGAACTGAGATGGAATCATAAATGTGACGCACCTCATGGAAACTTAATGTCCCACAGCATCTGGAAACTCAGACCCACGAGGCAGTAAGCTGATGTTCCTGGAACACATTTGGGGACACCTAGGCATCACCTGAGGTCATGACTGTCCCCTTAGTTTCATGCCTTAGGGACTGTTCTGGCCTTTCAAGCCTATCCATCTAGTGCCCTCACAGCAGAAAAGGAGGATGGTCTCCACTCAGGACAGGAAACATGGTACCGGGAACCCCCACATCACTGGCTTCTAGGGGAACACTCCAAGTCGAGGTGGTGTTGGGAGGCCCAGGCTTCAGCCAGCGTGAGCGTCCCTCTCAGGACAAGGCTGACTGGGCTCTGCAGCCTCACTGCTGGCCAGGGCAAGGGATCTCCGGGGAGGTGCTATGGGCCTTGCCTCACTGCAGGTGGGACAAAGGGGTGACACACGAGTGAGACTCTGTATGTGTGTGCATGACAGAGGCAGCTGTGCCTGTGGCCGTCTGCTGGTTGGTAACTTCCAGACAACCTGGTGAGGCTTCACGTGCCTGTGAATCAAGGGCTCTCAGCAGTGCTCTGGTAGCCTCATCTGAGGCCAGCATTTCCCTTTTTAGCTTTGGCTGAGAAGGCCCATGTGGGAACACAAACATGTTAAAACTGAAAGCAGCCATGGAAGAGGTTTAAGGTGGCTGAGAAATTCTGGGTGGAAACAGTGTCCAGGGCCCCACACTCCACGATGGGCAGTGCGTGTTCCTCTGTGATGAGGGGCTGGCGCCCTCGCTACCACATTCGCATCAAATGACTCCAGGGGAGCACAGGTGAGCAACTGGATTTAGGCACTGCTAAGTCAGCTTCTGCGCTGCCCATGGGAGCTCCTTCTATGAGGTCTGAGCCTCCTGGGGAGAGATGACCTCCCTTTGGCAATGACAGCCAGCTCAGGACCCCCGAAGGACCTCCAGGATGGTTTTGGGGAGATCCCAGGTGGACGCTCGCTGTTCTCCATCCTCAAGAAGGCGCACAGGAAACTTCCTTGGTATCAAAGGGGGAAAAAAAAGCGGGAAAGAGACAGAGAGCAGAGAGGTCCTTGCGGATGCTTCTCTTCCTGTGTGAGACCAGATGCTGGGCGGGGAGGTAAATGTCTTGGTGGACACACAGATGCAGCACGAGAAACACAACCACGACGAGGAGAGCCCTCCATGCATGCCGCTGCGGAGGAGCATGAGGCGCAGGCTCAGATGTAAACAGGCTGCTCCTGGGCCGTCAGCAGTCTGTACATGGCAGCTGGCATCGTCTTCATGTGGATCTGAGGGCAGGAAATGTGTATTAGCAGTGGGTGGAGGCCCAGGGCCTGGAAAGTGGCAGTGCCTGTCATGTGAGAGCTCTCTCTTAAGACATCCCCTACCACGAAATCCACAGGCTGTCCAGACAGTTCAGAGGTGACAGGAAACGAACAAGGAAAGCCAGGTATTCTCCCAGTCAGATGCTCTTGTTCTTAGCCCTTTGGAAGGAGCCATTCGGGGCTTCTAATCCACCGGCCTCCCCTTTCTCTTGGAGACAAGAGACGGGCCCACTGGCCTAAGCTGCAGTAAGGACTCCCAGAAAGCCCATGCCAGGGAGACACTTCTGGAAAGCCACCGTGTCCGTGAGATTTAAGTCTGAGATGTAAGGTTTCCAACCGTATTTGGTGGGATTAACAGGGAAAACCAGAGGAGACCTGCGCCGCAACAGAAGGAGGCAGCAAGATCTGAGAGGGGAAGAGAAGGCGACAGGTGGCCTGAGTTCCATCACAGAAGTGTTCCAGACCACTGCCTCTAATGGTTTAGTATTCGGTCAGAGACGGGAGGTTCTGGGTATCGAGGAGCATCAGGAGAGCGCGGGCACTCAGGAAGGTTCCCTGGAAGGCCCAGCATGACTGTAGGGGGACTGGATGGCGCCCGCAGTCCCTTCCCAGCCCAGCCCTCACTCCTACCTCCCCCACAGCATTGGAGAGGATGTGGACGATCTTCTCGTGGGGGGTGGCCACCACGCTCTGTCCGTTGATTTCTATGATACGATGTCCCACTCGGACGCCGCCTCTCTCGGCTATTCCTCCTCGCATGAGGCTGCAGATCTAGCAGAGACAAAGACTAAGTTATGCCCTGTGGGCAGCATCGGGTCTCAGGCCTCTGTGGACACAGAAGACCATCTTCCCTGGCACCCCAAATCCCCAGCTGGTGCGTCTTGGACGCAGGTGGTCAGGCCTAGAACATTTAAATCTCAGGTTCTTCCCACAAGAATCGGTCCCACAGACCCACACAGCCACTGCGTTCACACAGTCTGCACAGGGAATGGAGCATGTCTCTGGATTCCATGGCACACTGGACCCTGACCACTTTCATCCCCCTGGGCCTTGGGAGGAAGACATTGAGGTGACAGTGCCTCCGGCTGCCAGCCTTGGGAGCACAGGCTGTGATTATGTCCCAGAGTCTGTGTTCACAGGTAGAACTTTCACGTCAGCAGCCTGAATTTAGGCACCGTGTGAACCAGAGTGATGCGAGGACCCAAGTGCGTGAGGGGAGAGGCACCTTCTGGCCTAATTCAATGGCCTGTGTCACAGTGTGCAGAGACAGCAGTGGTGTTGCTTTTCTGTGATGGCGCAGCCAGGTGCTGTGGTGGGCAGAGCCTCCCGGCTGTTGGCAAGTGAGCCCTTCAGAACTCAAATTCTCCAAAAAGAAATGTGTGAACTTACTAAGTCGATCGTATATTCCAGAACATGAATCTTTCAGCCAGAGCAGAGCAGACATGGCAACAAGCATGCTTAGGGCTTCAGGTGTGTGGGCCTGAGGCTCTCAGGTGCTCTGGTCAAAACATCCCTTAGGTGCTTTCAATTGGAGAGGAAACCAGGAGTCTAAGGCACGTGTGTGGCTCTGAGGTAGTGTACTTGCCCAGCACTCGTGTGAGGCTCTGGCTTCAATCCCCAGCACCCCAAAAGAAACAAAAACCCCAAGGGTAGTGAAAACTAAAAAATGGTGTGCATGCCTATAATTTTAGCTACCCTGGAAACTGAGGTGGGGGAATCACAAGTTAGTGAGAAGCCCGGGCAGCTTTGACTCAGAAGTTTAGAAAAGGACTGAAGTACAACTTAGTAGTATAGGTGCCTGTGCAGCACCTAGCCTCAGGTTCAGTCCCACCAGGCAGAACCCAGAAACATTCACAGTAAAATCCCTCCCATGGTAGGTGCTTTTTAAAGAACGGACCAGCTTTAAAAGATAAACCCAACTCCGCCTCATTTCACTTGTCCGCAGTTTGGAAGAGGGCACGAGTGAGCTGTACTTACAATTCCGTTTTGGACACTGAAACCCAGTTGGTAGCGGAGGTCTGGCCTTCTGATTAACACCGTGGTCACCGGAGGACATCTCACAATATTCAGCTTGACTCGGGACTGATTCTTTAAGCCCTTAAACAGGAATAAAGTGCAGGGAAAAATTCCGATATTGACGTAGACTGTAAGTGAGAGGAGGCGGCTCCCAAGGCAGAAGCAGTCCACACCACGAAAGGCTGTCTGGGCGGGTGCTGCCTGTCAGAAGGCATGGCACACAGAAAATACTATTTTGCTCAGGCCACACTGCCGTGGGTGGAGGCCCCGGCTGCTCAGCTCTGCTTCCGGAGCTCCTTGCAGGGGAGATGACCTCATGTGGGCGGGCAGTGTCTGCCTATCTGGCAAGGCAGCTGACTAGGAAGTCAGTCAAGGTCAGCCGCAGTTCCTCCCTCTCCTCCAAGGGCCAGGGGTGAAGGTGACAAGTTGTTCCTAAAAGACAGTGCTTGGGGTGAGTGGGCACCCTCTCCTCCAGAATACTGCGGCTACCAGAGGAGGGGCAGGGATGTAGGGGCACCCTGGAGGCAGCACCCCATTGGTGTGCCAGTGGGCCCAGTTTGTGCCTCTGCAGGCCAGGCCGGAAGAGCAGCCTAGGAGAACAATGGCCAATCCAGGAAAGGTATGCACGGAAGGTGGCTGTTTCCCTGCTATACAGAAGGCCTCCTGCTTGCCTTCTACAAACGGAAAGCTGCAAATCCCACAGCTGCTGCCCACTGTCACTCCTTGCCTAGCCTGCAGACCTTTTTCAGTGGAAGGTCAGAACTCATATTTCCCATTTTGCAGATGAGGACAGAAACACAGACATGGATGCAAGACTTGTGCAGTCCGAGGGCTCTGAGAAGTTGGGATTGGGATCATGGACCCCTACTCACAAACCCTAAGCCAAGCAGAGGTGAAACGGGTTAGACAGCTCTAGTGTAAACACAATTAGTGGCAGGAGTGTGACTTGCTGCTGTGAGTGGCAGAAGAGACACACACATCTTTAATGATTTGCTTAGACTGCAGGTGACACAGCTGTTCTGTCTGGTTATCTGTCCTTACTCTGTTTGCCGATGGTGTATACCAGTGTTCTATAACCCATGCCAGCAGCTTAGCATCACTGTGAGTTCGAGTTCGAGTTCTGGGCTCCTCAGACCTAAGAACCAGAAAGTCTGGGAGTGGGACCCAATAATCTGTGCGGTCAAGTCCTCCAGGTGATTCTGATGCATGCTCAATTTAGAATGATTCAGGGTGAGCAGACCTAACCATGTGAATTTCTCCATCACAGAAGATGGTAGTATGGTGTGGGGGGGCAGCTTGTAGGGTGGTGGCTGGCTCTGTCCCTGCACATTGTGGCTCTGGCCAGCCATCTGCAGGTGGGACCATGCTTGAGTTCCCCTGGGATCACTGCGGTACCAAAACCCACCCAGGCACAATGAAACCAGCCAGACCACGGTGACAGCGACTGCCTGGGACAAACCTGGAGACTCACAGGAGCAGTTTCAGTTCCTCTCCCCAACAAACTGGCAGCTAGAATTATCGAAGGGGAAGTGGAGGCTCAGAAATACTGAGTGACTCACTCAAGTTCCCAACAGCCAGCTTCAGTCCCAGGTGTGTCATCTTCAAAACTCACAGTGCGTTCTCTTCTACACCCAGTGGAAGAGCATCTTTCATGAGTAAGCCTTGTTCAATGACGCAGCAGCCAGGGACAGCAACAGAAACCTACGTTCCTGGATCTTTCATTCCAGCCACGACTTGGGGATGTATTTTTAGGTCACTTTCCTACATTGTAAGAGTTCTTCAGCGCCCCTGCTCACATTCCTCCCGCTTTGGGATCCCACTGCCTCTACATGGTTCGGTGTGTCCTCTCGGCGTGAATGGGACTCAGTTTCTCTGCCTTCGGCATCTCCTTGCTCAGTGTTCTGAACCGCTCTATTTTCTCGGGGACTTGAGCTGTCTGTTGGCTTGTGGTGTCACACCAGGTGACTTACCGAACATGCTCATTTCACTGTTACAAGTGTCTTCTCCTGGTTTGGGGTATCTCTTGGGCAAACTTCTCGGTTAAGGGAGTAGTATTTTCAAAGCAGAGGAATGTTATGAGTCAAGTGTGATTCAGGTGAAAAAGTCTGTAAAAGATCCTGGCCTTCTAACACCATAGCAGCTCCCATCATCCATGGGATGGAAGACAGATGTTCTGGCTTCTGTTTGCCACAGGGCCCTGCTCACAGCCCAGTGAGGAAGACAGCATTGGTGTGAGAAGGCCAGGCTGCCGATGTGCTGTCAGCACAAGCAGTGGGGTGGTAGCAGGCCCTGCCTTTCTTAAGCCTCAAGTTGTCTCATTTTCTCAGCAAATGGTGAAACCTGCAGAAGTCTCTGCCAGTTCCAAATTCTTTACCCTCCCCTTTAATGTGTCTTTTCTAAATGCTTTAGCCTACAATAATCTCATCCATTACATTTAAAAACACCTATTACCTGACATTAAATAGGTTTTTGAGCTAGAAAGTGTGCTGTAGGGTGAAGGGGAGCTCAGACATCATTCATGCAAATCTTTTTTTTCCTTTGAGAGCTTCCTCTTTTTAGCCACTTAAAAAAAGTTCACTTGCTGTGTGCCAAGAAATGTGTCAGTCTCTGGACACTGGGTGGAGCAAGACACCTATGGGGCTCCTGGAGCTTGGGGAAGGCTGGACAGGAGATGTCGGAACTAAGACAGGGCTGTGGGCTTGAGTCCCTTCACCTGTCTTTATGACCTCACACCACAAAACCAGGGTTTGTGGGAAACACACTAAGAATGCTATAACAGGAACGTGTTGCCAGGGTCGCAACTCTTCAGACAAAGCCACCTGGTTTAAATGTTTATACCTACTGACCACTGGGATCACTTAGGTATGCTGTGCATTTGAGAAAATCACACACAACATAGTGAAAAGCAAACGAATGGTCTTATTTTCTCAGCGTCACCTAAGAAATTCACATTGTTCTGATGGGTTCTTTTCTTTTTGTGTGAATTGATTTAAGATGCCCGATCAATCCCTTAGTGAAAGAATTTCAAGACTGGGGAAAATGTGCTGCAAGATGAGGCTTAGACAAATGGCGATTTGAAATAACCAGACCATGTATTTGCTTGGCTTTCCTAATCAATGTTTCAAGTTGGGCCCCATTAACTTAGATTTCTGAGGTGCCATTTTATTAGAGGTGCCAATTAAATAAACGGTCATTCCATCCCCATGACAACAGTGGAATGGTGCAGCAAATTAAGAAATATGGTGAGGGGAGAGGGCAAGGAGGAGGGGAGGGGAGAGAGGCCAGAATGGTCTCTATAGTAACGGAAGAGCAGAAAGGCAGTGCTTCTCTGAAGGGAAGGGAAGCTGGGCTCTAGTTTAAAAAAGGAAAATCCAAAGGACAGGACCGTGAAGGAAACAGTACACACAGAGATAGACCACCTAATGACTATGCTACAGGTATGGATTAGAACAGGTACTGTGAGAGCCCGAAAGATAATTCAACATCTGTAACTCTAGAAACACATACTACTTTGTGTGATCTTGGTGGAAAACTGGCGCTGTCGCCATTCCAGGGTGCTTGCTGAAAATGTAGAATCCCCTCGAGACCTGCCAAATCTGAGCTGTATTTAGATGATACCCCTCGGTGGTTCACATCAGTTTTGAGAAACACTGATACTGAAAGGTCCTGAAACATACAGGGATGGGAAGTTCTGAAGCCCAGATATCGCTGCAGTGGCCAGGGGGGTAGCTGAGAGCATCTGTCCTGTTACAAGCAAAGGCGTGTGTCGTCTAGAGAATTTAAACTACAGCCCACTAAAAGTCCGTCTGCATTCTAGCTATTAGCCAGTGGGACACCTTTCCTCCCTAGCTGAGACAGGCCACAGATGGGCCACCTGACTTTTCCACAAAGCTGCGTGTCCCAGAGCACGGGGTATGCTCAATGGTCTGAACTGGGGCTGGCCCACGGAGCCTATTTTTGCTGAGGGTGGCCACACAAAGGCAGTGATTTGTTTTTCTCCATCTTTTTTGTTTTGTTTTTCTCCATCTTCACAGTTCTATTTCATCATGGCACAGTCTTAATCTTCTTCCACTTACAAACATCAAAGTTTAGCTATTCAAACAAACCTTCCCGCTAGGAAACTGCTCGGGGAGCTCTGGTTGTCCTGAGTAAACTTTCCACGTCGACGTGGTGATCCATGAAACAGAACAGAACAGGGTCCCCTCGTGGCACTAGAAGTGGCCAGCTGTCCTAAAAAGCCTTGCAACCCCCTCACCTGGTCTCATCTTTCTGAGTGTGGTAATGAGGGGTGGAGAGCAGAGTCGGGGTTCATGGACAGCTTCATGAACAAGCCATCTGGGCCTCCTGCCTGGGCCCCTTGCCCTCCCTTCACTCAAGTTACCTTCTTAGTTCAGGTTGTTATAAGAAAATACTGGAGATTGGATGGCTTATGAACAACAGAAGTTACTTCTCATAGGGTAGGATGCAAGTCTGAGATCAGAATGCCAGCTGGGTTCTTGTGAGTCCTCTTCTGGGCTGCAGACAGCTGACTTTTGGCTGCATTCTTCCAGGGAACAGGAGGGCCAGAGGGCTCTCTCGTGTCCCTTTTGTAAGAGCACTGATCTTATTCATGAGGGCTCTACCCTCCTGACCAAACCTCTAAGGCTCCCATCTCTAATACTGCCACTTGGATCTGAACTAGTGCACTTTGAAGGACACATTCAGTCCAAAACACTCCTCTGCTTGCCCTTTTAAATCTTTCCAGATCAACTCCCTACCAACCCTCCTCACCAGCCTCTCTCTCAGACTTTGCCCTCATCCACGTGAACTCTACCATCTATGCAGTCCCTCAAGCCTGCTTTACAGGCATCAGGCTGGCAGCATCCCCTGTCTCCACCTGCTGGATGCTTGTGGCACCTGTTCCCCTGGGACAACTGCAACCATGTCGAGGACGTGGGAGGTGTGCAAGATCACCCTCCGCTGAGGTCCTGGTCTTGGATCTAGCGCTGGTGCAGACACCTCCCCTGGGACAGTTCTGCGTCAGAGGCAGGATACCTACTGGCTGAGTGACCTGGCTCTACCAATGACCAACTGCGTGTGTCATCACTGTCTGTGCCTCAGTTTCCAAATGTGTACAATGGGTGACACAACAGTGCCCGCCCTCAGGAGGCCTCTGGGAGGGTTCGGCGAAGTACTGCACTTAGGACAGCACCAGATGCACAGCACTCGGTTGCTGTGGCCCCAGTACTGTCACTTCTCCCTGCTAGACCAGCACGCCATCCCCACCATGGAAACTATCAGCTGTACGTCTGGGCTGCACACAAAGTGTCTAACAAGTCACTTGTTCCCTGGGGGCAGACAGATGGCACTGTGGATTCCCCACCTCTCTCCCTAGGGCAGCCCTGCCCTCTCCATGTCGCCATACCAACACCAGATCGGCTCTCAACCAGACGGGCTCAGACCCTGTTCCCCTGACCCGACGTCAGCCCGCTGTCCACCAACTTAAGGAGAGACTTCTGAAGGCTGCATTCCTTTGTTTCTCACAATCTAGGTTTTACTACCTCAAGGTCACTGTGTAACTTTTCAACTTCTAAACACTCGCAGCCTTTCAGGGCCCACTGAGTCCTCGCAATGACAATGATCCTTGTGTCATTCTGGCTTCTCCAGGGTTCAGCTCAGCACCTAACAGAAGCCCAGTTAAATAAGTTTGATGAATATACATGTTCCAAACGGAGTCCCTCATCTCATTATTAATGTACGGTTGGGTGCTGCACAATGAGGTTTAGTTAACCACAGAGCGCAGTATGACAGTAAGATTACAGCACATAGAAGCTGAAAATCCTATGGTTCAGTGACCCTGTGGCTATTCTAACACCGCAGCACAACCCACTGCATGTGCTGTGGCAATGCTGGTGTCAGTGCCTCTCCTGTGGGGCAGAGCACATGCCTACCATGCTGGAGGCCCTGCATTCATCCACTCAAAAGAAACCACCAAACGCAAGGACCCAAGTTCAATCCCCAGTACCAAAAAAGAAAAAGAAACCACCAAAAAGAAAAGGAAAAAATACCAAGAACCAAAACAGCACACACACTCAAATACAGTACATAATACTTGATAATGATAAAACCACTACTGTTTCTCCGTTACTGCTATGCTCTCTACTGCCATTTTAGACAGCACAGTGCTCCTTAAGGTGCACGGTTACACAAGCGAGCGCCTTACAGACCTCATGATGACTGTCCTATGGTTGCATCAAGAGGCCACATCTAGTGATTGACTAGGTTTGTGGAAGTCTTCCAGGATGGGTGTTAAATGACAGCATTGCCGAACGACACATTTCTCAGAACGTAAGCCCTGTGATTGATATGTGTCTTGTGTATTAAGCAACGGGGGGCATTTAATCATTAAAAGGGGCAACTGTCCAAGACATGTACGTACACTCATCTGTAGGCTCCACCCCCTTTCCCTTCAGACAAAGATGGTGGCTTTTGTTCATTCACTCAGCATGACCACTGTATGATGTACTCATTTCTCCCACCGAGCTGTGGGCTAAGAGTCTTTCATGAAACCCCAGTCACCAAGGAAAGCTGCGCAATCCCAGTCTGCCCATGGCACTGCAGTGCTGTGGACAGGGCTGCGGTGGAGAAGGAGCATTTCCACACACTGGCCGTGCACTCAGCAAGTACCAGTGTGCTTGGAAGACTACACGGGGATGCTTGCTTTCTAAGAAGAAAATCTTATTTCTTCCCCTGAAATACTTGCATTTAATTTCTTTTTGGTGCTGGGGATCAAACTCTGGACCTTGCACTTGCAAGGCAGGCAGCAGCACCACTGAGCTAAATCCCCGCCCCCTTAATTTCTTTTAAGTAGCTCTCCTTAGCCTTGTACAATAACACTGCTGCAGGACGAAGAGAAAGTAATATTGCTGAGGCCTGAGAAGTAATGCGTGGACTCTGACAGTTTCCTTCTCATGGCTCTGGGGGAAAGATGGACTCATGTGCTTGTCAGTGTTCTCTGAACATGTTTCCATGAGTTTAATTTAACAGGGACGGTATTCGTCTGGTTCATCTGACTATAAGGTACTGTCTGGAATGCTGCACAGGACTGATCAGTGCTGCCCGCCCGCCCGCAGTGGGCATGGTATTAGACAGTGGTGTTACGTGAGCCACACCTACGAGTGGAAGAATTGCAAGCTGCCTGAGGGCAAGTCAGTGCCTTTGTGTTTGTGCCTCCCTGCTGCTGGGAAATACCGTCATAAATGTTAATGACTGGAGGCAGGGCTAAGAGATAAGCAGTCTAAAAGACAAGCAGGCTTTCTCATGACCAGGGTCCACGTACCTTAATAATGCTCTGGCAGGTGGACAGGGGCAGGCCCACCAGGCTGGTGCCGTTAATGGACATAATCTGGTCCCCGATATTCAGCTTCCCCGACTTCTCTGCGGGGCCACCGTGCATCATGTTGGCTATGATCACGGTTGGCAGGATGGATCCCCAGCCGGACTCCACAATCACAACTCCCAAGATTTCTCCTTTCTGCTTCTCTATGAAAACCTGAAAGGAGGAAAACACTTAGCAAGCCTGAAGGTCACCGTGAAGAGTAGTGATAAATCAAAGCCATTCCGCCCTGGGAAAGCAGGAAAACATTTCCCAACTGACTCCAGTCCAGCTGAGCTCTTGTCTTCACCATCTCAGGAATCTGGGATACCACCCTCTTCCTCAGTGCCCAGGGCCCTACTCCTACACGCCCGTTTTGTTCCGAGTGTGGGTTTCCAGCACACTTCCTCAACAAGAGTCCTTATCTCAAATTTTGCTTCTATGGAACCTGACCAGAGACACCTAACATACACTAGTGGATCAAAAGACTACTTTGCCTCTAAACATTCTTTAGTCCATGGAAGGAAGTCCAAATGCTACAGCCAGACATAACCTTTCAGTTATGACCCAGATCTTAATGCTGATCTCTCTCTCTCTTTTCCTTCACTCACGCCCTGCTCTGAGCTACCTCCATTCCTGATTCCCTGGCAAATCTGGAGTTTTCTTTCATGATTCTGTGCTGCTACTTGAGTTCAGCTCTCTGCTTGCCCATATGTTCCAAATAGCTCCTAGCCCCTGAGACCAGCTCAGTGACCTTGTCTTCCTCCAGATACTCCCGGACAGTGAAGCCTAAAGCAGTGGAGCGCACAGAATCTCCTGAACCTGTGCTCTGCTCTGACTGAAAGCAGTTGGCTTTGACCAGCGCTCAAACTGGTGCCCGCACTAGACGTTTTTGTTTCTCTTACCTAGACTGAAGTCTTCATATGGGCAGTGCCTAGGTCCAACCTGCCTCTAGAACCCACTCAAAATGTGGGTCGGGATTCCTGGGAGCAGGAATCTCAACCTGCTTATGACATCATCTAGTAACACAGCCCCAGGACAGGTGAAGGACAGGAACGAGCTGCTCCAAGGTGTCCTGCCAATGTCGCACCCTTCAGCCTCTGTGGTCCTCACACTTCCACACGGCAGCTGTCCAGTTCTCCCCAGAACCTCACCTAGCCGGCCCAACCTCAGGAAAGTACCTACATCTTTGCAGTTTTCCGACTTGGAGAAGTGGATCAGGTCGTCGTTGTACATGTCCTGGGTGTTGAGCAGGTCACTATACTCCTTCTGGCTGAGGTCTTCCGGGTTAATCCCGTTGGCTCTGAGGAATTCCTGGTATGCAACGCTGAAGGCCTGCCCTATGGACTGTGCAATCAGCTGGGCCTAGAACAGCAGCGGGAGCAGAAGATGGTGGTCAGCGGCAGAGCTGCGGGAGGATGCCTGCTGTCCCTCCCGCCCCACAACAGTTCTGGTGGAGTTTGGGCTGGGGGTCTGAGATGTCTGGTAGGCCAGAGGTTCTGCATTAGGAGCCCCAGTGCCTACCAGGAGCCATTTTCAAAATTACTGGGGACATTTCTGATTAGGACAGTGATCAGTGATCATAAAGGTGCTACCAGCATTCAGCAGAGAGGAGTCAGAGATGCTGGGCATCCTGTGACCCACAGGGCAGCCCCTCACAGTGACTGGTGGTTCTGCATCATAGATGGTTTTCAAGAATCCCACTGGATGATCAGGTACATGTAGCACCTGTTTCTAATCATCTGCATTCAGGACTGAACCCTAACTTATACATAAATACAAAGACTCATTGGGTGGCCTGGATATCCATTGAATGTTTAAAGAATAATACTGTATGAATCGAAGGAAGATGGTCCTTTGTCTTATCTAAGACTTTCCCAGGAGCTGCATAGCTTCAGGAAATCATCCACACCATTGCTCCTCATGGGGTCTGAGTTGCTAATAAATCACATTCTCTATGAGCCAGCACATTCACCGCTGCCATTCGGCTTGTGTTTCCATCTTCATATTTAGCCTCCAATGTATAGAATGTGTTGACAACATTGCGCAGAATACCATGTTCTCTTACAGCCAAATCTTTTTGATCAAGTAGGTATGAGCATCTGAGGACTTTGCTATGGCTTTTGGAGTGGTTAGAACTGAGCGTTTAGATGTTGTACTAATACTTTATCTCAGACTGCTTTTAATTTCTACTTTGTGTCACATTTATGGCCATTCATTTGATTATTTTGTAAAAAACAATTTCAAAGATTGCGCTGGATCCAAAAGAGTCAGGAACCCGCATCTGGTCCAACCCTGCACTTTCCAGGTGAGAAGACTGAGGCCCCAGGTATACAAAGGAATGGGCTCAAGGTTACAAAGCTCACAGAAGGTGAATATTGCTTCCATTGCCTTTTCCGTGCAGCAGGTTTTGGTAACTTGCCCTCGCATCAATTAAGCGACGACTATTAATCAGGATAGCCAACCACTGAGCCCTCTCTGCGTGTCAATACTACACATCAGGACTGGTGTAACTCCTCACACACATCTAGACGGGTGGTGTGTGGTTGTCCACAACCCCATCCAACACTCTTGAATTCAGAAGTGCTCAGGCTCTATAAAGACAACAGGGAGCAGACACTGGACACTGTACAGGTACTGGACACCGTTCACTAAGTCACGGGGAACTGTCCTACAAAGGGGCCCTGCAGGGAGCGTCAAGCCAGGTGAGCAGAGCTCAGTCCACCTTCTCGCTGCCCTGCAGGACACAGGAGCCTTAAGAGTCTAAACTTTTTTTTTTTTTTTTTTTTTTTTGGTACCGGGGATTGAACTCAGGACCTTGTGCTTATGAGGCAGGCGCCAGAACCACTGAGCTGAATTTCCAGCCCAAGAGCCTAAACTTTCACCCATGAAAGAACTTCCTAAACTTCACTGTGTCCCAGTTTGTGTGCCTGGCCTTGGTGTTGAAGAGCAACAGGGAGACTATAGCAGGCCTTTCCAGAAATTTTGTGCAAGGGTTGCTTTCTAGAAAATTAAGCCAGTAAAAGCTGGTGTCAGTAAAAGTATCAGTGTCCCTTCCTGGCTGTGACTGAAGTTGTGAGAGCTCCAGTTCCAGACAGAAAAACAGGATTGCCTCTGACTCCTGCCTTCTAGGAAAGGCTATTTACTACAGCTAGGTAAGCACTAGTTGGAGAGAAATGGGCATTTTTCTCCTAGATAGAGTAGCACTTTCTACTCTATAGCAGACTAAGAGCTTGTTTCTCTGTATGGTGAAAGTGACCACCATGGTTCTGATGTGGCCCTCTGGGGGCAGAGGTGGCTGTGCAGTTCAAAACGTCAGGTCTGTGGGCCTTTCTGGGGAAGGGAGCTCTGGAGGCCCAGGGTGGGTGGGTGTCTGGGGACAGCCTGAGTGCCAATGCAGTAAAGTCTGGTTGCCTCAAAGCAGTTCTAGGGACAACGCTGGACTAAGGCCAGGTGAAAGAATAACATGTGTTGTAAAACAATCTTCGCTGTTGACCTTGTCACCTAGCAGAGTGAGGTCTGAGACTTACAGGAGGGATGAGCTGGCTTTGCTGAGGACTGGGGCTGGGTGGGCGGTGCTCTTACCACTTGGTAAGGACAGGGAGAGATGCCAGCTTTCCTGTAGCCCCTAGGATAGCTTGGAACAGCAAAGAACTGTGCTTTCCAAATGCCCTGGTGTGCAAGTGAGGCCTGCTCAAGGCCCTTACTCTGGCTACTCTTCCTCTTTCCAACCCTCTCCAGGAACAGGGCTCCTTTCCCTTCTCAAACAAATTGACTCTGGGCCTTTGCACTTGCTTCATCTTTTCTCTTTCCTTACCCTCACTTTACTCAGGTCTCTGCTCAAATGTCCCCTTTTTAAGAAAGGACCCTGTTGATTGTCCCATTTGAAACAGCTCCATTTCTCTACTCTATAAGCCTATTTCCTCTTTCCATAAAGCACTTCCCACTACCTAATTTTACATTAAGAATATTTCTTTTCTCTCCCTTCAACTGCAGTAGTGAGTGGCTTCTCTGGTATGTTTTATCCAGCCTTATAGCTCTAGGATACGGGCTGACATACAGTAGTGAAAACATGCTTCATATATGGTGATTGATTCAGGTTCTGAGAAACCACGGGAATCTGGTCACCCAGTGACTGTTCAGGTCAACTAGCGGGAGAGCAGGAAGGTCACCCTTACGTCCTCCGACTCAAAGACGTGGCAGATCATCTTGTACTGCCTCTTCCCATCCTGCGATGGGTGGGAAGCCTCCACATTCTCCTGGGAGTTCGAGCGGGGCATCCGCCGGCGGGCCATCAGCACAACAATATTCCCGATGTCTGCAATGTAGGAAATGGTCCTCAGAGGGTGGTCCATCATTGTCTCCTAGAGGCAGAAGGAGACAAAGAGTAAGCCTGGCACAGCATCTAGTGACCCAGGACAGTCAGTCTGTCATGCATCCATATGTAGGGTGCGCTCTGGGGCTCACCGTAAGGACCTTGCTGGCAGGTCTGTGCAGACCCCCCCAGGTCAGAACATTTCCCTAGGCTAACAAGAGCAAAAAGGACCTGTGGTAGCTGAAAAGAAATAAGATATTTCAAACATTTCATCACTACTAGTGGTAAAGTTAAAAAGGAAGATAAACTCTCCATGGCATAGTTATTTATTGTTTTCATGTGTGTGATGGGGGGGGCAGTACTGGGAACTGAACCCAGGGCCTTTGCACTGAGTTACAGCCTTGATCCCCGACTTGGTATTACTGAGACAGGATCTCACTAAATCACTAAATTGCAGGGGGAGGGCCCAATCTTACGATTCTCCTGTCTTGGGCTCCTGGGCAGCTGGGATTATAGGCATGTGCCACCATGTCTGGCATGTGCGTGATTTCAAACAAAATTTCTTAAAATGTTAATCTTTCCACATTAGCTGTAAGGAAACAGCCTCCCATCCCCCAGCAGCAGGTACTGCATATGAATCTATCCTGCTTGGCTGCAGCCCCTAATCCAGGAGACAACAGGTATAAACAGGTATAAAGGTAGCACTGCGATGCTACTGGGCTTCACGCTGGAGAAGGTGGGGGCCAGCTGGTACCTGTGTGTCAGCATTCAATACTTTAATTCTCTGGGTAGAGATGAAGAGATCCACCTCAGTCATGGGCTGAGATTCCCCTTCAGGAGCCTGAGAAGAAAAACACACCAAGAGGGAGTTCACCATGTTACCCCAACCCCGAGGAATGAGCAAAGCAAGCTTACACACAGAGGCACTAAGACACAGTCACCAGAACGGCAGCACAGACTCCAGGGTGAAACTGCTAAAGCCAAAGTTACCATAGAGAGGATGGACAGGCGGACAGGAGTTTCTGGAAAAAAGGCAGGAAGCTCTCTGTTGCTTCCCCTACATTAGTAGGAACTCATATAGTAGATTTGACTCTGACCAATGATGGGCAAAGGCCCTTTCTGCAAGGGTTTAGACAGTGAAGGGCAGGGGTGATGAACTCACACCCAAGACGTTGGGGGAAGGCTCTTAGAGTCTGCCCTTGCTTGGGCTGATGGAGGGCAAATGCAAATGAAGCCATTTAGATGCGGTTCTGGTAAGAGGGTCTTCACGTTCACACACCACCAGAGCAACATGGAAGCAGCTGCCCACTCCTGAAGCCACCCCATTAAGAAAGAGCCCTTGAGGCATCAACACCCCCAGAGTAGTTCACAAGCACCTACAAGCTCCACAAAAAAAAAAAAAAAGTACAATCTGGTTCATTTAGGGCTGAACTCTGCACATGTGCGGTTATTAGCGCGTTTTCTTTTTTGCATCCAGCAATCTGACAAATCCCAAATCAAACAGAACTAGAACTGGACAGACCCAGTCCCTGGCACATCATGGCTCCTAAAGGACGGGAACTCCCACACCACTACAGGACTCGTTCAGCATCTCCAATCTGCTCCCTGTGGTCCCTCTGAAGTGAAATGGCTCATGAGCAACAGAAAGTGGCTGCTTGAGGCAACGGTGTTCTGAGAAACGCTGGTTTATGGGGCGGTTCAAAAAGAAATCTGAACGAAAAGTTGCTGGATGCAGAAAACAAAAACACAAAACAATAAAAAGGCAAAACATAAACAAATGAAAAGAACAGGCATAACACCAAGCTGATGAAGTTGTTGGTACTGCACCTTCTTCCTGCTTTTGGCTAATTTCTGGGCCATCTGCTTAGCATGGAACAAACAGAGACAGGAGAATAGTTAGAAAAGAATTTGCAGAGAGTCAAAGTCCAGAGGGGAGCGGACAGACTAATACTAGTGGTAAAAAGCATTCTGGTGGGAGGGGGACTGGCTTAAAAGACCTCAGTCTGAAGATAATTGTGTCCTAATTCAGAATGTAGCATGTGGTGAGGGCAGAGGGATGAAGGAAGTGGACTGAGGTGCTTCCTACGCTGAACGGCAATTGAGTTTTTAAGAATCAACTTTTGGTTTTTAAAGTTTTTTTTTACATGCTCCTTTTCCTACTCTATTGATTTCAGTCTACTTTTGGGGGGCTTATTTTGCTCATCTTCTTATCAGCTTCTTGAGATAAAGAGTTAAACTAGTCTTTTCAAACCCTTTTCTTACGTTTATGAAATCTCCCCCTAAGCACTGCTTTGGTTGCAGCCCACAAATCTTGGCCTGCTACAATTCAACTACTGTCCCATTAAAATGTATTTTAATTTCAACTGTAATTTTGTTTTTGAACCTTGAGTAATTCAGAATTGTGTTATTAAGTTCAATGCAGTAGAGAATATTCTGGATGTGCTTTGGTATTGATTTCTGAATTAATTTTGTTGTGGTCAGAGACCAAACTATGTATGGTTTCAATCTCCTGACATTTGTTGAATCTTAGTTGTTATAACTCAGTACTCAATTGACTTTGGTGAATGCATAATGCAGACTTCAAAATATACATTCTGCAGTTGTTGGTTAAGATGATCGTTCAAATATTCTATGTACTTGCTGATTATGGTGTCTGCTTCTATTTAATTGAGAAAGATGTGCTACAATTTCCAGTTGTTCTATGGATTTGTCTATGTACAGTTTTAGTTCTGACAAGTCTTTGCTTTATCTACCTTGTAGCTATATTAGAAGGTGGTTGTTTATTTAGGATGGTATGTTTTCCTGTTCAACTGATATTTTCAGTGTTATTCCTCTTTAGCTATACTTCTTAAATTTGTATATTAACATTGTTTTTTACTAAAACTGGATATAGTATTTCCCCTTTGCTAATAATTACATGACAGCATAGTTGATAAAAGGGACTGGATTATTTCAAGCCAAAACCTGGCCCTGTCATGGACTAGTTGTATAGCTTTGAGCAGCAAGATAACATCTCTGTCCTTTAGTTTTGTCATCTCTAAAGTGAGGATTAAAATAGTGTCTACCTTATGGGGCTGTTTTGAGGTATATGAACATAAGCAAAGTTCTTTAACAGTATACTAAGTAGTATATTTGTGCCTGCTGTATATGATTATAATTACCTATATCGGGATGCAATTTCCTGGCTTTTCATAAGGCTTGCTACACACACACACACACACACACACATATACACACACGGAATGCTGTATATTTATAATTACCTATATCGGGATGCAATTTCCTGGCTTTTCATAAGGCTTGCTACACACACACACACACACACACACACGCACACACACACACACACACACACGGATCTTATACAACTTGCAGTGAGTCAATGGCCAAACTGGACTCTGTTGTGGTGATGGAGGTGGGGTGGAGGAAAAGCTGCCGGATTGCATTCTTTGGTACTCACCTGGTAGGAAACTCTTTTGTTCTTAGCAGTACATCTCTCTCATTAATGACTAAAATGTGTTGCCTGTACTACCTCATTGTAGAGAAACTGGATGAGTCAGCCATCCAAACACCAAATAGCTAATCTCTAGTACACCCAGAAAAGTCAGGCAACCCCATTCCCACTCAGCCACCCCACGGCTTTCACTGGTGGTTATGAGTTCCCAGGAGACACTGCTCTGGAAAACTCTGAAGGCAGAAACTACGTGTTATCCTAACTGCTGCGTGTTACAGTGGAAACATTTCTGCATCTGAGAAGTGGCCCTAAGTTGCTGCTCTGCTGCACCACACAGATTCCTGTGTGGCATCTAAGAGTTCTGCTCAGGAGGTTCTGACCTGGGTCAATCATAATCTGCATTATAAGTAACTGCTGAGAGATCTGAATGTTTCCTGCTCTCCTTCCGAAATGAGGTAATGAAATGGGAATTTCTGTTACTTTTAAAATCACACACAGAAAAAAATAGGGCCAGGGATTTAGCTCAGCGGTTTGGTGGCCTGCCTTGCAAGTGCAAGGACCAGAGTTCGATCCCTAGTACCAAAAAAATAAAATAAATAAATAAAACCACAAATCAAAGCATAGTTGGTCAAAGTTCTTTAACTCTGGGACACTGGAACTTGTAAGAACTCTTTCAAAAGAAAATAGACCCACTACCAATGGAAAACTAAAATTCTGTTTCTCTTGGAACCACTAATGAAGAATATCACAAAGGCAAACTGAGTAGCATGAAAAATATCCTGAAGTAATTTTTATGAAGTTGAAGATACTTTACTCACTTAAGAGAAAAATCATCTGCAAATCACTTATGATACCCAAGTGCCCTACTACAAATTATAACACAAAATTTAGATGTAATATTGAAAAAAGTGAGGGAGTAAAGCCAGAATGGGAAATTAGAGTATCAGAAAGAGGTGTAAGGGAAACATTAGGCCAGCCTGCAATCTAAAACAAAGAATGACAACATTCATTTGAATCTGTGTTTTATGGGATTTGTCATTGCTTATCAACCAGTGGGGCCCCAGGCATAGGCCAACCCCCGTATAACCCCCGTGTAAACGGAGTATTTACTGCTGTTGAACTAGTCTAGGTCAGTCACACCAGGTGATCGGTCTCCCGTTCTATCTTTTCTTTCCTCAGCCAACATCTAGTACTGTGCTAGGGTCCTATTTAGTTCACATACTTTAGTATAAAAGCTTACAACTTCCTCATGAGGCAGCAGCTACATTATCCTCAGGAAACTGACGCAGACAGAAGGGCTGATTCATTTGCCTAATTTCACACAGCTGTCAAGTGGCAGAACAGAGATTCCAACGCAGGCAATCCCGAACGACATTCTACACCAGCATTTGCAGCCTGGGTGAGCCTGTCTTCTAAGAACTCAGCCTACCTATAAAACGAGATTAAATATACTCCCTTTCCAGAATTTCTGACCCTCTCCATTTTGAGGAGTAAATGAGCTTTTATAGTTTTTGTTGATCTCATACTCTTTCAGCAATATGGGAAATGACATAACTTAGTCAAAGCTATCCTATAATGAAATCATAATTTTTGACATCTAAAGAAAATGCACTGGTACCTCGGTTCATGAACTTAATTCTTTCCATGTTTCTGGTCGCAAACCCAACTGGATGACATCCCAATCAAATTCAATGGTTAGGTTCAATGTTGACCTTATGGGGAAATTTGATAGGTTCTTCTTCACTTCGGTTTGTGACCAGAAATGTAGAGAGAATTACACTGTGAGCCAAAGCACCACTTTAAAAAAAGCATGAAAATGTGACCTGTAGGACAGGATAATAAAGAGAGGTGTAAGAATATTTAATAATAACTCATGTTCCTTACATCACAAGGTACCTCAACACCATCTGAGATGTAGTTACATGAACTTCACAGATACAGAAGAATGGACATGCGGACAGCTCTGCATGGACAAGCAGCAGACTGAAGGCTCAGGTAGGGCTCAGCAAGCCACCCTGTCCTCTGGCTGAGGAGCAGAGAATGAAGCAGAAAGAGCGAGGGTGGAATGTAAGGACGAAGTCACAGTGGACAGAAAGGAAGACAAGTGAATGAGCTGCACTGGTATCGACAGCTTAATACTCCAGACAGGGCGGGCACAACGCCACCACTGTGTGCTTCCAGGGCACATCAGACGACAGGACAGAGGACAGAGCTCTCTTTAGGAGCTTCTTCCAGATAGCACTAGCAACAGGACAAGGGCAGATAACACAAGGTGATAATGTATTCTGTGCTCGTATGAGTATGGACTTATAAATGAACGCTCCTTGATCAGGACTCCTCAGAGCCTGTTCCTTTCTTAACTGTGTGCTCACCGTACTCACTAGTAGAGTTCTGTATGCTGTTTCCACGTATGCGTGCACTGATCGTATCCAACCATCCTTTTCTACCCTCCATCCCAGCACCATTCCCAATCTCCTCTAATCACTATTCCAGTCTCAGGTTGACTTTTTAAAAAACAGATAAATAAAACACTCAGTACTTGTCTTTCCACGTCTGGCTTTCCTCACTTAAGGTCCTCTCATCCCATCCTTTTTGCTGCGAAGTACAGGATTTCATTCCGTTTATGGCTAGTACTATATCGTGTATTAGACTATATTTTCATTATTCATCTGTTGATAAGCACCTAGCTCATTCTATATCTTAGCCATGTGTGCAGATGTGTGTTTGCTATGTTCATTTCATTTCTCTTATATATACACACACATACATACTTAGAAGTGGGATAGGTGGATCACATGGTAGATCTATTTTTACTGATTTAGAGGGGCCTTCATAATAGCTGGGCTGACACTCCCCACAAGAGTGTATAAGATTTCCTTTTTCTCCACATTCTTGCTAGTATTGCTGCTTTTTGGATAACAGCCATTCTAATAGGGATAAAATGGTATCTCATTATTGCTTTGATATGCACTGCCTCTGATGGCTGATGATACTGAACTCTTTCGGCTATTTGTATTTTAGAAGTGTCTATTAAGATCATTTGCCACCCTCACTTTTGATGGGGTCTTGCTGTATGGGCTAGGCTAGCCCTGAACTTCTGGGCTAAAGTGATCCTGTTGCCTCAGCCTCCCACATAGCTAGGTCAGGCAGTGTATCCCACCTTGCCTAGGCACCCTTTTAAAAGTGAATTACTTTTTTAAAATTTGAGTTCTTTATACGTCCTGGATATTAACCTAGTCAGATGAATAGTTAGGATATATTTTCTCCCGTTCTGTAGGTTGTCTCCTCACTGTGTTGCCTCCTTTGCTGTGCCAAAGCTTTTTAATGTAATCCCATTTGTCAATTTTTGCATTTGTCTCTGTGCTTCTGGAGTCCTATCTAGAAAATCATTGTAATAGTATTGTGA